TAAGGGAAAATGAAAAATGTTAAGAGAGTTTTGCAACAATTATTTTTAGTCTGGAGAAAACAAGCATTAAGGAAGACCCAAGTTGCTCTCACACATCCATGAGGAAGAATCATCAGGCTTGCTTTTGACATTCTGGAGGACATAACTGGGACCAGTGGGAATATGGTACAGAAAGGCAGGTTTTGGCTCTAACCATAAGAGCTGCCTATTCCAAAATAGATGGAACTGCCAGGAAAGTGGTAAGTTCCCTATCACTGGAGATGCTCAAACAGAAGCAGGGATGCTGGTGGTAGAGACCAAGCATCAGAGGAAGCTTGGATGGCCTTTCAGGCCTGAGATATCTGAAAGAACCACTAAAGAGAATGGCGAGGATATGGTTTCACAGATTAAGGCCAAAATGAATTATAAATATTATGTAATGGGAAGATTGGCATGTTCCTTCATTCACAATTTGGCATGAAGCTCATTCATTCATTCATTCACCCAGTCATCCACTCAGGGAGTACTTTCTGAGGTTTTACTGTGGATAAACACCCATATTCAGTTGTTTGGAGGGTTAAAATATATGCTCCTTGAACTCGTTAATGCATACAGTCTACTTGGAAAGAAATCCAATTTTCACGCATCATCCAGACAACAAAGCCCTAAAAGTTAGAACAGAGAACAGGGTAATATAGAAAGCAAATGTCAGTGAGGTAAATGTCATCAAATTCTACTCATCCTTTACTGTTCAAAAAGTCCTTCTTCCTGAAGGTGCCTCTTATTGGGCAATCGTTTATAGGAGTAAGTTTTCCCATCTGCTAGGTAAGGACTGCAATTAGCCTCTAGTGCGGAGCAATACTCATTGAGAGCCCAAGTGTCCTTTCTGCTCCTGCCCTTTGTTTCATTCATTGTGGGTCCTGAATGACCTTCAAAGCCAAGTTTATTTTGGGAATGCCAGACCGTGTTCATCTCCTAAAGGAATGAGGAAGGAGAGGGTGGAGCTGGAAAATAACCCAGCCAGATTAACTTCTGGTGATGTGTGTGGAATCCTGGAAAGAAGGGCGGCCCTCAGCCTATTGACAAATAGCATCTACCCCTTATCCTGTCCCTCCCCAAATGGGGTTGAACAATACCCCATTCTTCCAATTCTTATCTCTGAGGGGAGGGTTATCAATGAGAATATTTGTAAGTACTGAAAGCTGCAAGGTGTGATTGGAAAAAATGCTGAACGAGGAGCCCTAGTGCCAGATAACTCTACCTCTAATTAGCTTCCCTCTGTCCTCAGTTTCCTCGTCTGCCGAATGAAGGGGTTGAAGTATTCAATACACAAAGCCTGTATCTCCCTATAAATCAGAAACTAAAGGTTCCTGTGATTATATGTTGGAATTATTCCCCAGTCGTGAGCCATCTGTCAATCTCTGACCTTGCCAATACAAATTCCTCCCCAGTGATAGAAGTTAATTCTTTTACGGGAAGGTTGTACACGTTGAATGTTTGTGTGCAGAACTGTCTGGGAAGTCGAGGCAAAGGAAATGGCTCCTCAATTTCTCCTGGGATTGAAATGGAAAACAAGATAGACTATGACATCAGCTCCCATTTCTCCTGTGATCAGACTAAATAATACAAATATCAATATTAAATTATGCATGCATACTTTTTATTTTTGCCTTTCATGAGAAGTCGCAGGGAATCCTTTGCTTTTAGTCTTTAGTGCAAAGTTACGGAGAACTGGAAAGAAGAACACATTTTAGAGCTGCAATTGACTTTAAAGATTAGACCCAACCCCTCTTCATTCCAATAAGGAAAAAAGTAAGGGGTCCAAGATATGAAACAGCTCACTTCAATTGTTAAGTTCCTGAAGTATTTTCTTTCAATTTGGTTTTTTAACATTTCTTTATTGATTAAGGTATCACATATTTGTCCTCAAACCCCCATTCCAATCTCCCACCCCTCCCCCACTGCTCTCTCAATTTGCTTCACTTAAATCAATGGTAATTGGACAATACCACCACTGGTATGAAAGAAAAAAAAAAAAGACAAAGAAAGAAGCCTAACTTCTTTTAATGAGTTTCCTCTATTATAACTGTTGGAGCCATGCAAGCGTTCATCAGGATAAACATTTCTGAGATAGGAACAGTTCACCCTCCTAGACTACACCCAGAATCAAGACACAGCTGCTCCATATTTTCATCCACTATCTTCCCGTCTCTCTGCTGGTAAGTTCAGGCAAGCACCAGAACTTTCTCTGAGAACAATGTTGCCCTTTAATAGGCTAGCCATTTGCCGCCACATCACCTATCAACTAAACAGGTGCTGCTTAGGATTAAATAACATTCAAATGCTAAAAACCTGTCCTTTTCACCAAGAAACATGATTTTTTTTTTTTTTTGGCTAATTTCCCCCCTCTTTCATTCTCAGTGAATCCAAGGAAGTTACTCAAAACATCTTAGTAAAAAAAAGAAAAAATTGGTAGTTCTATATGAACATTATTTATTTACACTTGGTCAGGTTTAGGGATCCTAAGTTACTGGAATCACTGAAGAACTCATTCCTTGCCAATCACTATTCAGCCGGATAAGATAGGCCTTATTGTTACATTCTTCCTGCCACGGAAAACACACACACTGGCTGTTTTGATAGCGGACCACATTCGATAATGTTTTGATTATCTGTACGCCGGACCAGAATGTCCTAGAATTCAAAATGCATACCTGGTGAGAACTGAAAGGGACTTCTAAGAGCATTTAATAATCACATCTCCCTCCTTTACAACGAAAGAAACACAGTTGCAGTGAAACAGACTTGTCCCTCTTCACGTGGCTAGATAGTGGCAGTGCCAGATCTAGAGGCCGTGTCTCCAGCCTTCCTGTCGGGGGGGGGGGGGGGGGGGGGGGGGGGGGCGCTGCTTTCCAGCACTGGAGCAGGCTTTCTAAACACTCCGAAGGGCTGGGTGGAGGCTCTTCCTTGGCAGCCAGCCCCTCCCACTCGAGCTGCCTCTGCTTTTCCACTGCATGAATTATAGATGCAAGAGGTTACTAAAGCTTGAGTAGGCAGATGTGTTCCCTTTCTTGCCCCAATGTCTTACATTCTGTCAATGAGGAAGGTGGGTGGCAATTCTTAGAGTTATCAGTTGCTCCTATAAGAAAATTACCAGTCTAATTTTTTTTCCGAAATCCATTGTTGCTATGCAATGTGCAGTCAAGAAGGAACATTCTATTCTGGTTTTGAATTATGTGAGTTATTCAGTTGTCTGGTTCATGTCTAAGAATTATACGTGGCTAGTTGGCATGCATAATTGGGGGCAGCACTGTTCTGATGATTCTGTGACAGGAAGTTTGGTTGCATTAAAATCCTACTTTCTGACCAGTGATGCCCATCCAGGCACTACCTGTAAAGGCTAAGAGAGGAGTAGTAGGGTGCAGGGGAAAGAGATTTCTGCTTGACATTATAATTATGTGCATTAGAACCCTGCCTCTGATCATTACTAGCAGAAGGACTTTAAGCCGTGCACTTGGTTACTTTCTTACTTTTTTTTAAAAAAAAATACATTTTTATTAATTTCAGAAAGGAAGGGAGAGGGAGAGAGAGATAGAAACATGATGAGAGACAATCATGGATTGGCTGCCTCCTGCACGCCCCACACTGGGGATAGAGCCCCCAACTCAAGTATGTGCCCTGACAGGGATTCAAACCCTAACCTCCTTCCTGTTCATAGGTCAAGGCTCATCCGGGCAGTACACTTGGTTTCTGACCCTCCCTCTTCTCATGTGTAAAATGTTGCACAGATTTGAACTTGCTTTATAGATACAACTAGAGGCCCAATGCACAAAATTCGTGCAAGAGTAGACCTTCCTTTCCCTGGCTGCTGCCACTGGCTTCCCTCTGACACCTGGGACCTGGCTTCCCTCGCAGCCCTGGCTTCTTCTATAAGGTCATTCGGAAGGGAATGATGTCTGGTCTAATTAGCATATTATGCTTTTTTTTTATTATAGACATTACTGAGCCAATATTATAATTTGTACAGTCCAGTTAACTCTATAACTGGTCATGAAGAAATGAGGCTACAGCAACAACATGGAAAGGCCTAACTAGGTATAAAGCCCTGCTCTTCATTTACTAGTTGGTTCATCTTGAGCAATTTTCATCCTTTGCTTTGTTTGTTTGTTTTTTGTTTTAACTTTTCATGAAAAATTTCAAACACACTCAAAATAGAAAGAAAAAAAATAATTTAAATGATGTCCTAATCGCAGGCTTAAGCAATTATCAATATTTTGCTAATATCATTTCATCTCTCTTCCTCAAACTTTTTCCACCCCCATGAGCTGTTTTAAAGCACATTTGGACAAATTGTTGTTTTAAAGATTTCTGTGCTTCAATGTTCTCATTTAGGAAATGAAGATTATATGATCTAATTTATTGGGTAGAACTGTACTAAGCACTCAATAAATGTTAGCAATTATCAGTATTTATGAAGGCACCAATGTGCTCCCGGGGCATAAAAGCACTTCGCAGCGCAGCGCTCCCAGCTCAACACCGAGGTCATTAAATAAACAGCCTGTTGATCTCTTCTCTTCCAACCGTAAGACTTGAATGCATGCATATAAGTATAACCAATGGACACAAAACTCTGGAGAGGGAGGGCATGTATGGGAGTGGTGGTGGGGGCAATGATAAGATATGTACACATATAATAATTTAATTTTAAAAATGCTTTGCAAAAATAAACAAGTATATAAGTACATAAATGCATAAACGCATAAACACATAAACAAACACATAAACAAACAAACAGCCTGGAGGAGCCCACTTCTCCTTCGCTAAGCTTGCCGCCCCCTCTCGGCGGCCCTCTCGAGAACCGCTAGTTGAGGTCGAGGATTGTCCCTCGCAGGCTCCCGTTGCCGCGCTCAAAAAAATAAAGGGGCAGGAACCGGAAGTGTGGTTGAGCTGACTTCCGGGCGCGAGGCTACGGCTGAGGAGAGCACGGCGCGGCTGGTGGAAGCCGGTGAGGCAGAGCCGCGATGTTCCGTATCGAGGGCCTCCCGCCGAAGCTGGACCCCGAGGAGATGAAGCGGAAGATGCGCGAGGATGTGATCTCCTCCATCCGGAACTTCCTCATCTATGTAGCCCTGCTGCGAGTCAGTAAGTACCCTTCCAGGCTGTGGTGGCGAGGCCGCCCAGCTCTGGTTCTGTAAACCTTTGGGCGGGGGGGGGGGGGGAGGGCGCCTTGGACGGAGGTCAGCGGCCGCGGGGAGCGAGGGGCAGGAGCGTCCCGGGCCGCGGGCGCATGCGCGACCTGGAGCCTGCAGCTCGGGGTCGGGGTCCGGAGCTGCACGCGGTGGCCCGGGCTGCGTGGTGAATCGTCCGGCCTCGCCCAGCTTTGAAAGCGTTTGAATTAGCTTCAAGGGTTCTAACCTCCTAGAGCAGCTCCCTGGTTTTGCAGACAGAAACTGAGATCTGCAGCAGAGTGGCTCAAGGTCACTCAGCAATTCGGTGAGTGATCTTGGCCTGGAATCCAGACCTTTCAACTCAGGGTCAGGATTGCTTACTTCACTGCTGACCTTGTTATCCAAAAAATGTTGCTTATTTGTACGTTAAGGTGGTTTTTGAGGGGGGAAAGAGTGAGAAGAAAAGGGTATGAGTCTATAGGATTTGATGGTAATACCTGAGGGTTTATTTGATTTTATAGTTAGCAGAAACTTGTTTGTATTATCTGGTCTTGACTGTAACTCTTTGAAGGTAGGCGGGGCCTGAGATTCTGTGTACCCCATTTATTAATTTGAATTCGACTTTCGGGGGGGGGGGAGTTATGCAAAATATATTCAGTTGCAGGGGCCCTGACTATTAGAGCTAGAGTTGGCGTCTCTGGTTTTAGATATGAACCTCGGAAGAGACTTGCCCCCATCTCGCTCTTGGTTCAGTACTCTTCATTGCCTCTTGTATGTTGCTGTCAGGTGTGGATGGAGAAGCAGGGACGATTCAGGTAAACGAAGGCCATGCCAAGGTCATCCTGTAAGAAACTCCTGTCTGGGCCTAGCCCAGAGCTCACTGACGCCAGGTGTCCCTTTCCCTATCGGTGGTGTTATTCTGTTTCCGGGGAGAGGGTGCCCTGGTGAGCAGAAACTCCCAATTAATGTGAATCACCTGCTGCTTCAACAGCTGTTTGTGGCTCCCAACTTGTTTCCTCCCCTTAACGGTTTTTTGTTGATTTAGCTGCCCGTTAAATATTTGCTTCTTCTCAATGACCTTTGTATTTGATATGAGACCATTTTTAAAACAACAACATACAGAATACCATTCAGTACTATCACTTTTTAAATTGAAATGCAATTAGCATATTATACAGTTAAACCATTTTAAAATGTACAATTTAGTGGTTTCTTAGTGTAGTCAGAGTTGTACAACCATCGCCACAATCTATTTTAGGACATTTTCTTCCCCTTTAAAAGAAACATGCCCTTAGCTATCATTCCTCATTTAACTCCTCCTCCAGCCCTTGGCAACTGCTAATCTACACAATACATGATCTTTTGTATCTGGCTTATTTCACTTTGCATAATGTTTTCTGGTCCATATTGTAGCTTGTATTATTTCCTTCCATGTATTGTTATTTTCTTCCTGTTTATTGCTGAGTAAGATTCCGCTATATGGATATACTACATTTTTTTTTCATAGTAGCCATCGTAATAGATGTGAAGTGGCATCCCCTTGTAGTTTTAATTTGCATTGCCATGGTGATCAGTTTCGATGAGCCACTTTTCATGTGCTTATTTTGGCCATAGCACTTTTACACAGGACAGTGATATTCTTTAGAACCTTATGACAACACTTACTAGTTTTCTAGACATTTCTACCTACACTATCCTAATAGGCCCTTATAATTGAAGTAGGGCTGTATCATCTGTGATCTGGCATAGCTAATTGGTAGGAGAATCAAAATGTGGTCTGGCCCTGGCTGGTGTGCTCAGTGGTTAGAGTGTCAGTCTCAGCACCAAAGGGTCTCAGGTTCGATTCTGGTCAAGGGCGCATATCTGAGTTGCAAGTTCAATTCCCAGCTCTGGTGGGGGCACATTTGGGAGGCAACCAAACCAATTGATTGTGTGTGTGTCTTCCCATCTCTCTCCCTCTCTCGCTTTCTTCGTGTGTGTGTGTGTGTGTGTGTGTGTGTGTGTGTGTGTGTGTGTGTGTTCCAATCTCTCTCCCTCTCTTTCTTCCTCTCAAAGAATCAACGAAAAAATATCAGGTGAGGATTAACAGCAACAAAAAATGTGTGGTTGATTTTTCTGGTTGTCCTAGTTCATTGTTGTGTCTCCACCCTCACCCACTGCCTTCTTTCAAATGCGTTTTTAAAGGTAAAATAAATGCCAACTTGTTTCTTCTAGAGCAGTGTTTCCCAAACTTCTCTCATGATGAGAATCACCTGGTGGAGTTGTTAAAACTACAGATTCCTGAATCCCAACTAAGAAGTGCTAACCTAGAATTTTTGGGAACATATAGGTAAAATTGTATACTTAACTTAGTGCTCTCAGTATACAATTTTACCTATATGTTCCCAAAAATTCTAGGTTAGCACTTCTTAGTTGGGATTCAGGAATCTGTAGTTTAACAACTCCACCAGGTGATTCTCATCATGAGAGAAGTTTGGGAAACACTGTTCTAGAGTTTTGTGCCTTTGACAGTGAAATCAAAGAGTAAAGGATTGTCATTAGAAAGAGGTTTAGATTTAATCTAGTCAGTCATAGCTGGATGACACTGGAATGGGCCACCTTGAAGACAGTGAATTCCTGTTGGTGGGTTGTGCAGACAGAGGCTTGGCCATCACTTACAGTTGTTTCCAAAAATGTATTGATCTAAACCTGTAGATTTGTTCCCAGTCTTATAATTTCCTAATGTCACTTGGGCTAATGAAAACAAAATCTCAGTTTGTTTCTTTTTCTTTCAGCTCCTTTTATCTTAAAGAAATTGGACAGTATATAAAGAATTGGATGTTACATGTGACTGCATGATATGAAGAACCTGGTTACAGTTTCTACTCTGCAAATGAATAGGCCCAGAGAGATGTAAGAGACTCCGGTTGAATGGACATAAAATTTCTACTTGATAAGAACAAGTTTGGTTGTGGTAACTGACCTTCATAGCTAAAACAGAAAACTATTTGGGAAACATGAAAACATGTTTCTGATGCCTGTGATACTCAGCCTCCGTGGATGTTGGTATAATTGTAAATAATGTCAAGCTCCATTTTCTAGCAATTATTAATTATAGGAGGGAATTATGTCTGCAGTGGCCCTGTCTTGTCAGTCATTTCTAGTGACCTTTTTACTTCTGTCAGGAGTATATTGAAGAACTCCTTACGATTAGTTCTGTTTTATGGAAGCCAGCACACATCCACAACAACATTTAAGCACAGGACCATTAGTCTATATTTTTAATAAATGTACCAATTAAGAAAAAATGTGTTGTTTTTTTTTCTTCTAAACCTGTTTTTTGCTGCAAATCAATCACTGAGGAGACTACTGTAATATTGTGATTATTACAACTGCATGAAATTGAGTTCCTCTTGTTTTGGAATGGAGAATTTGCTAATCCTGATGAAGCGACATTGTTTCATTAAGCAGTCTTTGTGAAGGGCATCATTCCTGCTCGGTGCTGAAGATACGTAATGCCACCAAAGGGGAAAAACGTGTGTTTTTAAAGTCAGATAGTTCTCCAAGTTTATTGAAGAAGAGGACAGTTTTGTCATCTTCCTCCTGGAGGCAATGCAACTACTTTCACCTCTTCTTAGTTAATTATCTCGGTATTTGCCTCGTGTCTCTAAATAGCATGATTGTATTGATTTTTCTGTTTTAGACTTACTGACTTCTCCATGTCTGTAAGGAGTAAAGTCTCTTACCTCCTTTACTCATACATCTGATTTTTTTCTTCCTGTCAGTGCACTTAGTGTGATTTCCATTAGATCAATTTCATTAGAATTCCAGGTGGTGGTCATGGTTTTCATTTCCTGCACACCTTTTGTTTTTCCTAGGCTTAGTTTTCTATGAATTTACCACTAAACCAACTAGCCTTTTGCCGTTGCTCCCAATGTTCAGTCTCATTAGATTCGCTGCTGCATCTTGCTGAATTTCTCCCGGAGCTCTCCGTCCTGCCTCAGTCTGGACTCGCAGTTTTCTGTATCTGAGGTGTGACTGTGCTCTGGGATCGCTCTTCACCATCATCCGGGGAATTCCTTTTCTTCTCCTCCCATGTTGGATCTCTTGTTTTCTGTATCTCATGTCCAGTGTGCTTTTTTTCACTGAATCTTTGTATTGAGTGCAATACCCTGTCCATAACTTCCTAGCGTCCCAAAATCCAGAAAATCTGCTATTTTACCTTTTACCTAATTAGAAGATGAACTTTAATTTGGTGAGGAGCCTGCTTAGCGATGTAGAGTTGCACAGAGCATCTGCCTACGTAAACCTTCAACCAATTCTTATTTTCGTTTCTACCCCTTCACCTCCTCCTTTGAACAAGCATATGAAGCCACCAGTTCCTGAGCCTTTAGGGATCTATGATACAAATTGGGTTGTTTTGCTGTTCTTACTGTTAACAGTAAGGATTCCGTTTTCTTGGGTCTGCCACGTTATTTATTAATTGTCCAACTGCTTCCCAATTTCTAACTTCGTTGCTGTTGTCTCTTTTCTTCCCTTTTTTTAGGTTTATACCCTAAAACAAATAAAAATATTTGCTGTCATTTAATAGAATTTCAGGAGGGAGTGGGAGTAGATGTATGTTCTCAGTCCACCATTTCTACCCAGAAAGTATATTTTTAACCCCCTTTTGCTGTGTCCCATGTTGGTGATTTATGTCCATTCCCAACTTAAAGCGGTGCATGGTATAGTACCATGGTCATAGACACTGGCTCTAAAGACAGGCAGACTGGATTTTGAGTTCTGGCTCCAACACTTAGGAGTTGCAGGACTTGTAGCAAATGAACCTTTAAATCTCATTTTCTTCCTGTGTAAAATTCGCATATAGAAACATCTCTATTTCCAAGTGCTATAAAGGTGGAGTGAGAGAATACAAGTAGAGCAGGTAGCACAGTGCCTGACACTTGTTAAATGCTAGTTACTAATGGTTAGTCTTAGGTACAAGGTGCTTAGCAGTGATCTGTGCTGGCATTCACTGCATGTGTTCGTCTTTCCAGGTGCTATGAGATAGCATCTTCTAATTGTATACAGACTTCAAAATTACTGAATATTTAAATTCATCATCTAAAACAGCCTTAACCATCGATGTTAATGCCATTTTACAGATTGCGAGTTTGAGACTAGAAGTTTCAGTGGCTAATAGTAGCTGGCCAAAGCTTGGGGATTTTGATGTTTGTTTAGTGTATCCTATCCTCAAGTGCCTTTCTCCAGTACTGATAACTTAGTTCCACCTGGCACCATAGTCTCTTCACTCTACCACCTAGTTGCTGTTCTTCACCTGCGTCGTGTCTCAGCTTAATCTTCATTAGCCGTGATCAACATACACCCTCAACCCACTTTACCTCTCTCTAGCTTCATTGGATTTCCCTGGTAAAACTCTTAAATCCAACTCTTTGCCTGCCCTGTGCAGTTGAAAGTAGCCGAGGGGGAAAGACATGCTGACAGAACCCACTTGGAAAATGATGCCCCTTCATTTGGGTCCTGCAGGACCAGTACATTTTCCACGGGTTATTCTTTCTCCTCTACACATTTCATATCTTCCCTCGCCTCAGTTCCCGTATCTCCTCTGATCTTTAAGCTCAGCTGATGCTGCTGCTTCATATTTCCCTGAGAACATAGAAGCATCCAGAAGAAAGCTTTTCTAAACTTACCCCATGATACCTACCCACATACCAGCATTTTACCCTCCCTCCTGTTTGAAATATCTGCCCCTATTTAAGGTCAATCCCATCTCAGATGTACCCAATTCCTCCACCCCATTAACTACCCATGGATCTTGCCTGCAATTCTCTTTTCAAATTTTCTTTTTGTTCTTGGATCGTTTCCAAAAGCATACAAAGGGCTGTGATTTCTTCTGTCTTAAAAAAGAATTTGTTAAAAAGCCCTGTTTCCAGTTTGTTCCGTGGAGCATGCTGAGATTTTGTGCAGAGGGTGTTGGGGGAGTATTTTGGGGGAAAAACAAGAGAGCAAGTGAAACAGTCTGGTCAGGAGGAGGAGTTGAACTGTCATGCAGCTGCAACGAGGGTGACCCAGTTTGAGCCCTGAAACTGGCTGTGTTCCGGGAAATCTCAGCCCCGGGTAAACCAGGAGGTTGGTCACCCTAGTTGCAATAGCAGTGTTAGTCAATTCCAAAGGTGTCTTTGTTGCTAGGGTGGCCTTTCAGAGAAATCCTGAATCAAGGCAGTAGATAGCCATTGAGTATCAGTTAAAATCAGTATTTTTAAAAAAAGAAAGTTAAAATGAAAGAATTTTAGGTTGTATTACGGTAATAAAATTACATTAGCCCAGCTGATGTGGCTCTGGTTGAGCCTCAGCCTGTGGACTAGGAGGTTGCTCATTAGATTCCTAGTCAGGGTACATGCCCATGTTGCAGGGTGGATCCCCAGTGGGGGGTTGAGTTGCAGCCAATCAGTTATCCTCTCACCAATGTTTCTATCCTTTTCTCCCTCTGAAATCAATAAAAAAATTTTATAAAAAAAATAAAATTACATAAAGGTCTGACAGATGCTACAAGAGTAGCCAGCCTGCTCTGGCTCGTGTGGCTCAGTTTGTTAGAGCCTTGTCCGCTACATAGGGTCACAGGTTCAATTCCCGGTCAGGGCACATATCCAGGTTGCAGGCTCAATTCCCGATTTAAGTATGTACAGGAGGCAATCAGTGTTTCAGGATTGAAAAAAAAAAAAAAAAAAAGGTAACCAACCTGTCAGTTTGATAGTTAAGTGTCTGGAAACCATACTTCTAGGAAATAATTTTTAAAAAATTAAAGGTACTTAGCCCTAGCCAGCTTGGCCCAGTGGATAGTGTCGGCCTGTAGACTGAAGTGTCCCAGGTTTGATTCTGATCAAGGGCATATGCCCAAGTTGTGGGCTTGATCTCCAGTAGGGGACATGCAGGAGGCAGCCGGTCAATGATTCTCATTGATATTTCGACCTCTCCCTCTCCCTCTCTGATATCAATAGAATTAAAAAAAAAAAAAAAAAAAAAAAAAAAAGGTGCTTAGCCTTGAGAAGACCTACAGTAGGAGTCTGAGAGCTGTTTGTAATAACCAAAAGGGTTGTGTCAGAGGAAGAATAATTGCCCCAGGAGGCAGATAGGATTAGTGTTTGGAAAGTTCTACTGTGGCCAACATGGACTGGGTTGTGGAAGGGGCTTTTCACTGGAGGAGGTTTGCAACAGAATCTGAACAAGGGTATTCTGTAGTAGGGCTCGCCACTATGGGGGAAAGTTTGTCATTTCTTTTCCCTGTTACTGAAAACTACTTGAGTACTACCTCACACATTTTTTTTGTTACACATATATCCTTACAAAGAAGGGGCTAAATACATCGAAGATGAAAAAATGCTAACTTCAGATACTATCATTCTAGGCCTCAGAAAAATATTCCCAACCTATCTGATAGAGGTGTTCACTTTCACAAGCATTCATTGCCTACACGGGTCCAGGTACTGTGGTGGGTGAGGGATATAGCAGAGCAGAATTCATTCATGGTACCTATCTTTAAGAGGCTTACTTACAATCTAGCAAGGGAGTCAGAATTAATTATTTATCACTAATCTTCATTATATATATTTATATATGTATATAAAAGCCCAAGCAACCAAAAGTCCAGTTGACCGGTTGCTATGATACGCACTGACCACCAGGGGCAGCTCAACACAGGATCTGCCCCTTGGTTGCCAGTGCACTCCCACATTGGGAGCACAGTCAACTGACTGATAGGCGCCAGACAATGCAGGGCTCAGAGCTGGCAAGCTCAGTTGTAGCACTAAGAGCCTCTCCCAGGGATACTTC